TGAAGTGCAAATTTCGTGGCAGGCGCAGTACTTTGTGGACCCTGAAGTGCAGATTTCGTGGTAGGCGCAGTACCTTGTGCAAATTGAAGTGCAAACTTCGCGGCAGGTGCAGTACTTTGTGGACCTTGAAGTGCAGATTTCGTGGTAGGTAGGCGCAGTACTTTGTGGACCTTCAAGCTTGCAAGCTCACAACGATGGCTCCATTTGTTGCCCAGCATGGAAGCCGCCTTCTGGCACTCCGGCAGCTCACATTTATGGCATCTATACCACACATCAATCCGTACGCATCGGATTGCATCATAGCCGTGAGCTCCTCCACACAAGTCAGGAGACTATGTACTTCGATGACACGGCCTACCCACATTTGAGCCCCGCATCCTACGGGCGCGAGCACTAGTAGATCACGCAGCCGACGATCTTACAGCCGCTCTAGCACACATCGAAGCAATTACACAATATTCACCGAGGCTTGCCCAAGGCAAAAGCAAAGGTGCGCAGCCTGTTCGGCCTGATTCAGCGGACGATCCGCAATGCTGAGATTGCCGAGAGCTGACTGCTCGGCGGCGGCGGCAGCAGGAGCAGCAGCGGCTGCAGCACAGCAAGGCAGAAAGCAGCAGTAGCAGCGGTGGAAGCAGCAGCGGCTCGACAGCAGCAGCAGCAGCAGCAGCAGCAGCAAAGCACCAAAGCTCACAAGTTTGGCCTCCACAACTGTTGGTTTTTGTTCAGTTTCGGAGGGCTTGTGCAGATGAAATTGAAAGAGGGTGGAGAAGCAGCAGCAGCAGCAAGCAGTTGCAAGCAGTGGCAGTAGTAGAAGCAGCAGCAGCACCAGCAACCAGCGGCAACGAGCAGCATTGCAGCAATAGTAGCAAGGAGCAACCAGCATTAGCGCTGCAGCAGCACCAAGCAATACAGGAAGGCGCGGCGCAGGATGGAGTTGAATGGGGAGGCCGACTCATTCGAGGCTTCGACAAAGGCGTCTACATCCTAGGACTGAGGGGGCAGCCCCCAACGGTGCGACCTAGGGTTAGAATAGCGTGTCATAGGGTTGAAATAGTATGTTTGTGGGTTGGAAAAAAAGGTTCAAGGGTGAAAAAATACTGTTTCCAGGGTGAAAAAAAAGGGTTTGAATATAAGGACCATGGGTTGATGTACCAAGCCCTTCAAAGTGGCCTCATTTAGAGGTCACTTAGGCATTCATAACTCAAAGGGTCACTTAGGGCATATCGAGGGGCTATATCGTGGCTAAGTGACCCTTTGATATATACATATATATATATATATATATGTGTGTTTGATAAAACCATTTCCCCACCAACCTCTGAAGCGCAAGCAAAAAGGAAACACACTTACAGGCCCTCTCAGAGTCACCAGTAGCCACCTCAAACAAAACGTAGAGCGCATATATGCCGCTAACATCACAAAAAAGGCGTTGTGTGGTTCCAGAAGCACTGGCATTGTTCTGCTTGCTTCTAGCTTGTGCCGGTGACGGGTCTTTTGCATTCCTGCTTGTCTTTTGGCTTATGTCCTGACTTTGTAACCTCTGCTGGCTTGCAGTGCATAGTTCTTGGTCTTGCTTGGGCTTGCCGCCATGCTGCTTCAAATACCCCAAACAATCAAATCAAACGTTGCAAGAGCAACAAACTCAATAACAGTGAACCAAAGCAACTCCCAGCAAAGGCATCGCCTCATCATACGAATTGCCCATGTGTGTGCTCTAAACCAATATGTCACCTGTCATGGGAAGGAGTCTTGTGAACATTTCTCACAAACGCACCTCACACGGCCAACAGAAGGGAAGATGACACACTCACGCGTCACCTTTCAGCACCAGCGTGTACGTATGAGTTGTGCTAAAGCATGTAAATCAATAAAACTATCGGATTGCTTTGGTGAAACAAACATAAGGCACAACAAAACCTAACAGTTCAGGATTGATTATCATTGAATTGTCAGAGTGGCACCTGGTGACTGAGAGTCCTATTTACATATTCCCCCAACACACTACACACATTAAATTGTTCTTAACAAGTATGTGTTTGTCACATCCACATACACATTGCTGATTTCAAAGAAAAACATGCCTCTTAAAAGACATAAAGGCCATGAATTCCAGTGGCTGGCCCTCTGGAGGATCAAACTTGATGCATTGCTTGTATTTGGGTGTCAGCAGAAAGATTGATTCACCAAGCCAAAGACGCAGTATTTGTCTAACACATTATATAGCAATATAGCACAAACCGAACATCAGTGCAAGCATACCGCCATACCGCACAAATAGCAAGACCTGCCAGGGTCAAAATATACAAAGACAGAAACTGTCAGAACATTGTAAAGCAAACCAAAGAAGTCACAACTTCCAACAACATGACACACTTGTAAGTTGGCAGTACCCTCAACACGGCGACAACCATCCATCACCAAACTGTGCACAAACATGCAATATACTCGAGTCTTATGGTGCGCCAAATGGGGACAATTGTGAGCAATTGCAACAAACTGCAAAAGAGTGAATGCTACTGAAACGCCGGTCCCTGCTTGCAAAAAAGAACTATGAATGACGCGCCAAACCGGATAGTGCATGTCAAGTTTCGCACGCGAATATATGATGCATGAAACATGCTTCAACAACCCCTTCCAAAAATGCGTAGAAAATCCAATAGCACGTTTTAGTTTCCATGCAGTGTGCATGAACAGAAAAACACAGCTTCCACGAGGCCTTTGGGCCAAAAATTTGAGTGACAAGAGAAAAGCTGCCAAAAGCGAGCCATTCAAGACCGGGATAAATCTAGTGAAATCTGTTTGTTTGTCGTTTGAACAAAGTCCGCGTGTCAGAGCGTGCCATTTGCGTGCCACCTTCAAATTAGGGAGTTCAATATCGAGAGGCTCATTCATATATCAAAAGGCCACTTAGACATATCAAAGGGTCACTTGCCCTTATCAAAGGGTCACTTAGACACATCAAAGGGTCACTTGGCATATCGAAGCATTTGCGTGCCATTGCGTGCCAGCTGGGTCTTTTGCGTGCCATTGCGTGCCAGATGGACAATCGTTTCTCATTAGTGATATTTTTTTTGTTCGAAATGTGTTTACAGTATTTTTATGGCTCAGACGCTTGCTCGGCACCACTTTGATAGAGGATTACAATCGCTCGCCCGCAAAGGGTAACACCCCAACATAAGTCCAAAGTTCAAGCCTACAAAAACAACAAGCAAGACTTCAACAAAACTTGGAAATTGCAAGACTGAAACTTGGCTCTTCTGGGAAGAGACCCATGATGTTACTCAAAACCAAACAGATTATACTTGTTTTGCAACTTCTCACCTATCCATGCTGCAGCAAAGTAATGAGCAAAGTTCTGTTTTGTCCCTGTGCCTTGTCCGGCAGCAGGTTGCCATATTGCAGTTGCACCAAAAGTAGCCTTTGCTTCCATGTGCTTTTCCTCGTTCAGCGAATCTTACTTGATTAATTTATCGAGCTTCCTAGCAGTGGGTGCAACATGCTGTATCACTTGTTGCCGATTTAAGCGTGAACTTGTTTGAAGGGATTGTTTGGGCTTTGCAGATGGTCAACTTCGAATTCCTTGTTCAGAAGTGTTTGTGGTGCATATGGTGGAGAAACATGCTTGGATGAACACCTGTGTCATAGATTTTGATAGCACGATTGTAGGGCTATTGATTGACACATGTGAATTGTAGCAGCAAAATTGTTGCAATCATTGTACCGAACGAAGCAAGGAACTAGAAGGTTTTGCAGAAAGCGTGCAAGTTTTTCTAAGCTTCTTTGAAGGGCATGGGTGAAGTGCCAAACCCAAGTGCAGTACAATTTATTGAAGCTGTTGGAGTTAATTACAGTAAATCCACTGAGGACGATACCATGCATTCAATGTGCCACGTCTACAAAGGGTGCAACAACACATATTGCCTCAAGCCTCTGATTGAAATACATACTCCATCCTCCAACATGCTTCCGTGCAAACACATCAAAAAACTACGTTGTGAAGAATGGGCCCACACAAGTGCAATTGCTTAAGAATGCATGGCCCTGTCCACTCCGCCATCCCTCTTCAAGAATTTGCCGATATGCTTCCCCCAAAAAGTAATTCAATGAGTGCGTGTGTGTGCGTGTGTGTAAGGACAAGGGTTTCAATTGTTGCAACCACACAAAGCCTAGAGTTGGAACGTAGATTCTTGCAGTTTGTGCCTAGTGTTGTGCGATGTTGTGTGCCCATTGAAGAAAATCTGCCTCCTTCGTTCCGTATGTATTCACAACTGCATTCAAGTCAAGAGGCAGGTATTCATTCAGTGATGCAGATTGTTTGCCAGAAGTGCATGTTGCGTGGTCCATGTCGACAACATGAGTGATGCCATGTAAGTTTATATATAGATGCCTTTACACATCGATATTTGTATCAATATTTGCGTAAATGCATTTCTACCCGCAAGTGTCCATATGTATCCATTCGCACTTACGGAACACGCTATGTCTTAGGCTGAAGTACTCATTTGCAGACCCAAGCACTTCAAAGTGACTTATAAGTTATAAGATCATATCTCGAAGTTAAGTGACCCATTGATATACACCCCTCCCTTTGATATAGGCATAAGTGACCCTTTGATATATAATGCCCCCAAGAAGCTATATCGAGGGTCCATAACTCAAAGGGTCACTTTGAAGTGCCTGGTAGTTGGGGTTACATGTTTTTCCAACCCAGGGTTAAAAAAGCGTCTTGGAGGGTGGAAAAAACGTTGGGGTTGAAAAAATATGTTGGAGGGTTGGATAAATATCCAGCCCGCCTTGTTCTGCCGGTTCACCGCTGCACCGCACCGCAGCAGCAAAGCGACCACGTCCTGTCGTCTGCTCATAGAGACGAGACAAGGTCTGTGGTGCATCCCTCCCAAGACCGAGGGTTGACGCCTCCATGTCATAGGGATATTCACAGGATCCATCAATTCCATCAATCAGCTTCTGGAGTACCATTGGAAGACTCCATTCCTATTTGCTGGTCCGGCACGATGCATGTCAATGCGTGTCACACCCAATTGACGAAGGTTCCCGCCGGCCAGACCGACTGACGGGGCGGCGCATGCGGCGCTCGCACCTGGAAGCCGGCTGCAGCTGCCAGCATCAAGGGAGTGGCATGGTTCAGGTTCCCAGCATCCACCTCGCGGTGTATCGCCAACAAGTGTTGAAAATGTAGGGTTCCAACCAAGCCGAGGCTCTGGCGGTTATGGCTCAAAAGAATGGGAGCTCAGACATCCCGCAAGGTTCTTTTGTCCTGTCACTGGTCGGTTGGATGGTACCCCTTTTTTTGAGCCACACCCGAGTGGCTTTAGCTAAAGAAACATGGTGCAAGTGTGGATAGGTTGAGCAGTTCTTAGAAGGCTTGCGAGCCAGGCACCTCTGCTGCAAACTCTAGCAATAGCTTGGCAGCAGCCAGGTGGCCTGTGAACGGCACAGGCGGCATAGGAATTTTGCTACAGGCCGGCAAGACATTTGAGGAGAAAAAGGTGTTTGCAAATCGCAATTGCCTTGGCAGCTATGGCGTTGTTGGTTCTCTGTCACACAAATATATATTTCTCTCGCAAGCCAAAAAAGAATGTTTAACTTAGAAACATCAGCCAGAATCCCTGGGCACCAGATTTTCTGCACTTCTTTGCCCTCTGACAAGAAAACACAACGTCTACTCGACACTCGTTTGTCTGGCAAAACCCACGATCGCCACCTCCGTCGGCCGCCAAATGCAAAGCCGTCGCGTGCTTCATGTTCCGCGTGGCCAAAAGGGATTCCGTGATGCCGCCTGGAAGGCTCCAGCCAAAAGGCAATTTGTTTCTTGGGTTGAGAGCTCCTGTTGCACCTGCGAGTGCACATGTGACCCTCAAAAATTCTAGAGCGGAGGTGTCAAAAGTTCTGCGATCCAATCCTGTACGAGTTGTTCAATTCTACCACTTAGTTTCTTGCTGGAAAACAACTACCAAGCTTTAACCTAGGCCGACCGACCTAGGCTTTGTGTGCAAACCATGCTCTTAGCTGTACCAAAACTATGGGTGCAACAACAAAGCCAAGGGCTCAAAAAACCCAACCCAAACCCTGGCCATGTCCTGCTAAGTGGGTAATCCTCACCCTGCCCGGTGGAAGTGTCCTCATGTCAACCGGGCCTTGGAGCAGTGCTTTGAGTACATCGACATGACCAGCTTCAGCGGCCACCAAGACCGGCGTGGCACCCGTCGACCCGGCCGCAGCATCAGGAGCTGCTCGCGACTTCAGCAGGAGCCTCAGATGGTGCACTAGCAAGATGCACAGGTCGCTCCTCTACATAGGTCACAAATCGTCTGAAAGAATTCATCATCAGCAACAACAACAACAAAGAGCGAACTATGCAAAGAAACCAATTGCCGGTGTCCAGGCACCTTGCCACTTCCACGTGACCCCTCTCCGCAGAAACGGCCAGCGGCGTCCCTTCCGACGATGGCTCATCCACACGTGCTCCTGCTGGAAGGGCAGTCCCACGAGACAGGTGGCTCAACGCATGAAAGTCTCTGGAATTGCGATGCAAAGCCTTCCTGGGGGCACCACCAGCGTTCCTTGCTCAAGAAATGATATCAATGTGGCAGTGATACAGTACCTATTTTGCTTTCATAGAAGAACTGAGTGTCTTCTTTTCAAGCATTCCAGTTCAGAAAGCCGATTTGCTCCTGCTTGAAGGAGGCACTCCACCGCCGTCGCGTGGCCATACTTCGCTGCGGCCCACAGAGCACTTCGCCCATCCGCATCGCAAAGGTTGGCGGAGGCCCGATGTTGCAGAAGCTCGCGCAGAACCTGCGAGGCGTAGAAAGGGATAAGGTGAAGAGAAAGGGAAGTCAAAAGCGTGAGGAGGGGAAGAGATCACAAAATAGAAGAGACCATTGAGGAGTGCACCTTCGAGGCGTTCGTGGCCTTTCAAAGGCATTGTCTCTACTAGCCACAATCCTGCTGAAACTCCAGATGGACCGAGCCAAGGTCACAGGTGCCTTTCATCCATTTTACATGTCAACGCTCTCGAACCTTGCCGCTGCCACACCCCAACCGGCACCCGATTCGTTCTCTCCACCCGGCACCTCCGCATGTCCCGCTTCCGCGGCGAACCACACGGCCGCACCGGTCGAGCGCGGTGGCCCGCCGTGCGGCGGGCCGTCCGGGCCGTCGGGGGCCGCGGCGGCCTCCAGCAGCAGGCGCACCAGCGGAGCATGTCCCCGCCAGGCCGCCAGGGCCAACGGCGTGGTGCGGAGCCGTTGTCCTCGGTCGGAACGGTCGGAACGGACATCAGGTGGAAATGAGATGAAATGAGAGATCTGGAAGAAAACAATGGTGACAAATCTGTAAGGCTTGATCAGTGAAGCTGCCCGATGCCGGCTCCACGCTTGCCCGTTTCTTCAGAAGAGCCGAAACCACTTGCGATTTGCCCTGATAGCATGCAGACAGAAAGGGGTCCGGCAGGTGCCAACCTTGTGAGGTCCGCATCAACGACGCATCGGGTTGCCAGCTCACAAACACGATATCTTCGTCCGTGCCAGGGGATCTGCGTGCTGCCTCGAAGACGTTCAAGGGCAACTTCCTCAAAGAGCCACCCTGAAAAACAGGGCCACGGCCACCTCTCGTCTTCCAGTCTTCGGAGCTGGGATCGATCAAAACGGCCTCCTCTCCTTTGATATCGATCAGAATGCAAAAGTGTCCGAAGTAAGAGCCTGTGGGCGGTTCTGACACTCTCCCGAACTTCAGAAAGGTGGCCACCAGGCTCCAATCCAGCAGCACAATGGCCGCACGGCACGAGAAGTCTCCAAACACATCCGTCACCGAATCCACAAAGAAGCTCCGCAGCTCCTCCAGCGGCACCGAACGGCTTTCCGCCGCCAGGTCCAAGTCGCTGGCCTCGCGGTAGAAGCGCAGGATGCTTTCGCTTCGATCCTCCTCCAGCTCGGATTTGAACTTCTGATAAAAGTCGAAGCCCCAAGGCTCCGTGAAAAGAAAACAGAAGCTAATTCTCACATGTTCGGGGCACAGAAGCCGTCCCAGCGCCAAAGCAAGCTGACGCGTCTCCACGCATCGACCTGGCAGGCATTCGCAGGCCTCATCGCAGAGGGCCTTTCCCACATCCGTCCCGGTCACGGCCTGCGAGGGGGGCGGTGTGTGGAGTCCTAAGGACTCCAGCGTTCGGAACTAGAAGTCTGTTGGACTCTATTTACAGTAAGGACATGTATATAAGGACGCCATCTGTTAGTGGACCATGAAGTCCGTAGTTGAGTCTCCATCTGAGGGTTCCATACATTCTTCAGGGCTTGCTGTGCGGGAAAGGTCAAACATCGATCGTCGATGTGTATAACTATGCATCACTATTACGCAGCAGCTACATTCACTTAGCGCATTAAAGGCGTGTAAAGTGATCCACGAATCCATGTTGCATGCCTGTTCTGTAGGTGTACAGCCTCTTCTGAACAGTTCCAGGGGCAATGGATTCATTAATCAATCATTAAACCCCACAATGGATTATATATATATATACTGGTGTGTGTGTGTGTAACCTTTGGAGTCACAAGGTTCCTTTTGGATTTCTTCTTCTGTCAGCAGGGGGACACAGCACTTCACTGGGACTGTGTCCAACGAAGCTACCAGTGAAATGGGATATCCAGCTTGGCTTCAACTTTTAAAGTTTTCCGGCAGACATGCACGTTACGCCGTCATTTGTCGTTTCGATCTCGCTTGAGCTTTTGGCCCCATCTCCTTTTGAAGACCCCCAGGTTCCGTTGGGCCTCTCCTGATCTCTTCACGATTTGGTAACCCTAGGTGGCCGTGTGGCGAGCGGCATTCACATCAGTATGCATTTCTATAAGTGTGTGTCTGGCGTTGTGGTATGAATGTCCAATGTGTGTCGTTTGAAAGCCACTGAATTTGCAAACAAACAAACCACGATCGGCACAATCCTTCCATAGCCCAGCCTTCATCAAAATACGAACACACGTGGGCCCACAATCCATTTCGCCTCCCTGCACCAGTGCATCCATCACTGGGCGTGGTTGCATTGAGCTTCCTTCAGCAGCTGGACAAGCAAGCCCGCCCCAGGTATCGCAAAGATCTGCTTGAAGCTTAGAAAACTGCGGCAGAACATGGCGGGTGCTTACTGACAACTTGCATCCCCTACTTCAGAAGAACATTCAAAACAGTTGCATCCTTGTGGTACCAAACACCAAAGCGTGACAAATCGTTCTACATACACAATGTCACTACGTCTATGCTTTTGACATTTTAATTTCGGGGTGGACGTTTCTGACGTTTCCTCCACCAGCATGCTGTGAAACACGGACGTCAAAAGGGCGGGAGGAGAAGGACTGTAGTCACTGTGGTCCATGTCACAAAAGCGCCCACTCGCATCCCCTTGGTGCTTTTGCACTATTAGGGTCATCGCTGGGGCACCGAGAAGCCGCGCGCGTGGCCAGAACCAAGAAGCGCACCCACCATGGAGTGTTGCGTTCAGGATGGTCCAGGCCTTGTTTTTTGCTGGAATGAGGAGGGCAAAGGGGATGAATAAAATGATGACATGAGACCCTGAACGGGCCCAAACTGGGGAAGCTTTGACCGGCACATTCGACCACAACATCTCATTGGGGTTTTGAGCTCGCAGTCTTGCACCCGTAAAGGTCGCACCACTGCTTGATTGGATGACTTACGCTGCTGAGTGCTGTGCATTGAATCACATCGGAGACGTCTTGCCTGCAGGGCGACCCGGTCAAGTGACGCAGCAGCGTGTTAACTCTTCAATAATGTAACAGACTTGTAGTGATCCCAAAATAGACAGAAAAAGACTGAAAAAAGAGCCTCTAAAATTGCGTTTGAAATGAGTGAAACGATCCAGTTGGGGACTAGACTTCGGGAAATGTGTTGAACTCTTCCCCTCTTACGTCAATCCACCCACCACAAATTTGCTAACATTGAACCAAATGATCCGCTCCTTTGCCATACCACTGGAATGTGTTCAATGCTGCAGGAAGAGAGAGTTTTACGCAGCTTGGATCAACGGAGATCGTCACGGTCGGCCTGCAAAGACCCACGGCCTCGCGAGACGGGCGAGACGGGCGAGACGGCCAACCTGGAGGCCCAGGTCGGGGAAGTCCATTGATTCATAGCAAGCCGCAAAAGAAAAGGGAGGAGTCAAGAGTCAAGACACTACTACCCTAGCAAAATCCACCAAAGAAAAGCTCTTCAGACCTTCCGCGTTTGGCACTCCTTACCACCCTTGGGGGCAGGAGGTCAGGGAGTGGCTACAACACTGTATGCACGAGGGCAAGGCTCTGGAAGCACGAAGACTACAAGTGGTCCTTAAAGCTGGCCCCATCTGCCCCTCCCAAAGCTCCCAAAGTAGAACTGTGAAAGCAAGTGCCATTCGTTGCACACCTGCCAACACTCTTGGCAACAAGGATGAGCAGGCCTGGTCTTTCTTATATTTACAAACACCGATCATATATGCCTCTGCAAGAAGGCTATGCCTCCAAACTCTCCTCTACTCTTGGGAAGGAGGTGTGGCCAACCCCGCAAAGGTGTAAAGGAATAACATCGATGTAGAATTTAGAGGTGCAGAATAAGATCAATAACATCATTGTAGCAGGAATAACATCACAATGCAGGGGGTGTTGCCAAGGTTCTGACCAGCCTTCCAGTGCTCAGGGAGATGTAGAATGCCCTGGAGATGTACAAATGCTGATCAAAACTATCGGTTGTGTGTTCGAAAATCACGATGTCAAGCCAGCAAATCCATCATTAAAATAAGGTTTCTATGGACCGGTGTCAAATAGAACCACTGGTCTCAAAAGAGTGATGTGTTGCAACATTATATAATATGATCAATCTTCCTGGAACCATTGAAAGTGGCAAAGAAGATGCACATCAACTTGTGGGACCTTGAGTCCTTGACCAGAACCCAAATCCAGGGCATTCCTGTCTCGCCAATCAAGCAAAGGGATGCAAAAGGTATGTAAACATTGTTGCCTTCCAGAATCATTTGTCCAGTTACAGCATTTGTCTAGAGTTTGGTCCCATAGGAAGTTCCATCATCTCCCCAAAATCTCGCCTCACAGCCAGCTTGGAGCTCTATGATGAAGAAGTAAACCTCCCAGATCTGATATCACAATTGTGTACACAGGATTTGACATGCTGCCAGCTGAGCCATGCACTCGCAGCCAGCACCTCCGGACCGCGGACCGACTAACGTTACAAAAGGTTCACGGGATACCGGGTCGTCTCCCCACTCGTCACCTGGGTCGTCACGACTGGGTCGTCACTGCTCGCCGATTTTCCGTTGCAAAAGGTGATCATCCTGTCCAGCGGAATCGAGAGGTCTGAGGTGTGAATTACAGGCGTCTGAATGTGTTTCAGCACCCTGTCCACCTGCCGGGATGGGTACTTCAGCAGCCTGACAACATGCCACTGGCGCCCCAAAGGGCCTTGAGAAACTTACGAAAATGAAAAAAGGGTTAGACTGCTACTAGCTACAGCTGTGCCTGTTTAGACACAGAGCCGCGACGATGACTCATCATGGCACTTCTGAATGTCAGTCAGAGGCATTCACCAGTCAATAACATTTCACAAACCAAGAAAGACTTCGTTTTGCCCAAGACATCATCGAAACGGCACTTGGACTTGCCCACTGTGCCCTCTTGGCCGCTAAGTCTAGGATCTTCCTATCCAATTCTGGTAGAAGGGCAAGTCCGATTTGTGAAAATGCAACACATGAAGCTCCTATATCTTCACCATGTGGAAGACTCCTGTTGGCCTCACTTGCAGAAGAGGCATCCTGTCAGCACCTACAAAGGAACATGAGTCTTGAAATCCAATGGCCTCATTACCTGGTGCCACATCTGTCTGTGCGGTTTGCCCAAGCTCCATCAACTGTCCATGACCCTGAACCCCTGGTGGCAAAGTGGGTCCAAGCGCCACACCCTCCATAACAAAACCAGAAAAGGTGAAACATCAACGCTCTACTGGGGAGCGATGTTCAACATGTGAGCCTTGGAGAACCTCTTTGCAAGGCTTTTGATCCTGGAGTCGGACACGGCAGGGTCAATCAGCGGCTTGGCCTCGCAGGGAAGCAGTTTTGGAGACCCTTTCCGTCCGTCCATCCGTCCGTCCTACCTCCCTCCGTTCCTTGCACTCTTTTTCTCTATCGATCGATCTATCTATTTCCAATATGATATGTATATATGTATAATATGCCATATATTATGTGTATGTGTGTAACTATATTGCGATATATATATATATATATCCAAGTCTCTCTGTCATGATAGAAGTGCCATATAGTTACTTGGGATGCAAAAAATATCACAAAATGTTTAAAAGATTCACTCCGCTTGCAACTCTACTGGCCAGAATAGCCTGTTCCTCAACTTTGAAATTGTCCACGACGTTCTCGAGCTCTTCCTTCCCAGCCAAATCACTGGGCCAGAGGTGTGGTCTCGTTTCAAGACGTCATCTTAACCATTCTCGTCCTTACCTCTATTACTGCACCTCTTAAGCTAGAGGTGGCAGTGGTTTAAAAATCCCCTCCATGTTTGGTTCACCTCAGGAAAATTGAAGAAATCCATCTACAAAATTCCCACCTGTGGATTGTCATCTGGGTGGCCACCAAACATCCACTCCTCATCCCATAAAAATCCCCCTCTCTCTCTCTCTCTCTGCGATGCAGGCGAACCAAAAGGCGACCGACACCGCGTCCACCGGAGGGGCGGCCCGACGGGCGACATTGACAAGGGCATTTACTTCTAGTAGCGAGAGGCTACGAACGTAGCGATGCACTTGTTACTAGATGTTACTAGTAGCTTCTTGTTACCAATAGCGATGCGCCTTGTTGGATGGCATGTTGGCGGCCATCTCGGTGGCCTGCCGCCCCGGCTCCGGCGCCGGCTCCGCCTCGTCGAGCACCTCGTCCGCAAGGACGCCAACGAAATCACCGGGGAGGGCCAAGGGGTGGATCTTGAGGTTAGCAACACAGAAGTAACACACCTCGTGGAGTGATTGCAAGGGCTCTTTGCTAACCCCAAGTGGATTCTCGTCGGATCTCCCGGGTCTAAATTTGGAGACCACAACGGATGAGCAAAATATGCTTCGAATGAATCCATGGCGATGACATGGAGCAGCTGTCCCACCTCCTTGGCAGGCTCCGCCTCCTTGGCTGCAGGCACCTCTGGCTTCTCCAACATCTGCGTGCTGAGCTTCGTGCTCAACACTTTGGCAGCCTTGCAAGAACGCAGAGAAGAGGACTGTCACAGAATACTTCACCGTTCTTCCTCAGAGTGTGGATGGAGCTCGAAAGAACTACGGATCCAATCTGTCGACGTTCCCCGGACTGAGCCTCGGCCACCTCCGCTCGCTTCACCACCTTGGCTTTGCGGAGGCCCATCGCGTCTGTATGCAGCCCCAGCAGATTTTTTGGGCAAACAAAACGCCTTTGCTCTCTAGAGAATTAGGAGCAAGAAGCTACTAGTAACACTCGCAGCATGCGACTTTCCTCTACCGCAGCGTGGGTGGGACGTCCCAGCGACGGATGCCAACGGTTGTGGCTTGATCGCCACAGAGGAGGGCTGCACCACGGACGGTCGCTGTACTCGGGAGTCCTTGGATCGAAACGCCAAGAGGAGGGGTGCTGTGCCTGCTGTGGGCATATGAGATACACCACAATGGATTCGAGTGGTTGGTCTCTGTCCATGGTTGCTGCACTAGACCTAAACCTTAGAAGTTGAAAGACCATATTTTGGCCGAGTGATGTAAAGAAGTTCCCTTTCTGGTACCCTAAAGACAACTCTTTTTATAGTCTTTGACTCTCAGGGTATAGTCCATTCTGCTGTTTGGTACAGTGCCACGGTGCAGGAAGAGGCTGTACCGCATAGGATTTGGAAATCTGTGGCTGGTAGCGCATGCTGACGTCCTGGGCATTCAAAGGCTCCACAAGCAATCGTCAGTCACACTCGTTCTCAAAGGTTCAAAAAAGGATGTTGGGGGACCGGACAAAAGCATTCATTCCTCCTAACTCATGCTCACTCAGTTTTCCTGGAAAAGAAAGGTTAACCGTTGTCCACCTGTTCCATCCGTCTCCTGTCCACGCGCGCATGCTACATGCGGTGACTCTCTGGTCACGACACAAAGCATGTTGCAAACAAATCCCCAGTGAAAAGAACTACAGTAATTATTGCACACCGAAAGGGCAAATGTCCAATTGGTCAGTTTCTGACCATGGCCGTCCAAAAGAATGGCCGCAAATGTACTAAGCTCAGTGTTCAACATCAATGGTCTTGCATGACAAATCGATCCCTTCGGTTGTTTAGTGGGGAAGCCAGTTCCCAACAAAAAGGTTGAAGGTTATCCACTGACTGGGTTTGCCTCAAAGCAACGAATCAAAACTATTCTGGCGAAACGAATGCCTTTAAGTGTTCACCCAGTCCGACCCAAGTCTGCACCAGGAACACTGAAGGCGACGGCGGGCTACTCCCACCCAACTGGGTTTGCGATGACGATGGTACAGAGCCAAGGTTCCAAACTGATAGAAGAACCTCCGACACGGTAGGGTTGTGGGTTCGCCACATAGCTGCCCATGACCTGGTGGCAACACAATGGTTGAATGTTGCGGCCCAAAGCTCCCTTGGTCGGATTGAAGATCGGCCTCCCAACAAAACCGAACGAAAACCAGGACAAAACACTGAAAGGCTGTCCGATCCCTTCTGGAAAGAAGACTTTTCTGTTTCCTCATCTTTCCTCACCTCGCGGTTTAAACCGCAAGTTCGCGCTTGAACGCGGTGCTCGGGCGACTCGGCTGAGGTTCTCACAGATCGAGGCATCTGGATCATGGCGCCTCAGCACTGCCCCAGGAGGGGCGGGTGGAAGATCTGCACTGCCGGAGGGGCGAGCGGTGACGCTTGGTGCTTGGTGGGAGAAAAAGCTTCAAACCAAGCTCAATCGAGCCGTGGACTCCATCCAAATCGGTGACATCTTTGCAAGTCGGTCACATTGAGTCACTGCGATGCACCCTGAATATAGTTTCTTTGGGTGACATGTCACGGGGGGTTGAGACTCAGTGTGGGTCTCTTGTCTCTTCTGTTCCTTCGTTCCTCCATATATGTTTATCAGTTTATCAATCAAGTTCATCTGAATATAGATTATGATGATGAGGATGATGAGGAGGAGGAGGAGGATGAGGACGACGACGACATTGGCAAAAGTTGTAATATGTCTCATCTCATCTCATCTCATCGCACTGCATCTCATATCATATTATATCAAATCATATCATCTCCTCAAAGTCGTCATCATCATCGAATATGGAAACAAACCCGTCCAAACGTGCCAACCACCAAGCCCTTCTTCCAAGAGGCTGGAACCCATGGGCTTTGTCATCGGAGTGCTCCCGCCAGGAAGATAGGTGGGTCTTGCCGACAGCAGTGGCCCCGTGGGATAGTTCTGGGGCCGGGCGCCAATCGTGCCCATTGGAAAACTTGGCATTTGAGACGCAGCAAGCGGCGCAGGCATCTTTATCATGGATGGCGTAGGCTGGCGGTACATCTGCACCTTGGCCTTAGTCAGAGTCTCCCAGGCAACATGGGCCAATTCACAAGGAAAATATCTCCGTACAGAGAAATGATATTTTTCAGGAAGGCGGGGATTTGAGATGAACAAAGTAAAGTTGAACGAGGGAAGGTACCGGCAATAAGCCTTCGCAAGCTGAGCTGAGCACTGACATTGTGCGGGATCCAATCACTGAGATCTCCAGATCCGTCGCGCTTCTTCGCTGACTGAGCTGTAAACGGCTACGAGTGCCACGTTCAAACGGCTGCTGGCCAGGTGCCGTGTTTTGAAAGCAGAGAATTGCAAATAATATGTGAATACCTTCTGCTTTGTGTCTTGCAACCTGTGGTGCATGAGGTGCAATGGTAAGCATATCCTAGGGCCAGGAGCCTCCACTTTCATTGCTGATGCTTCAGCGACGAAACCTCCCTGACTATGACTTGGCCGTGGGTCGGGGCACGCAGGACCGCTGAAAATCAATGAGATGTCAACCTGCTATGGCTTTGGATTTCTAGATTCTAGATTTGATCAAACTCTTCCACAACTTGACTGTGGCTGCAAGCTTTGCCCAAGCTTCTTGCCTCCGCCAGGACCACTGCGCTTGTCAGTGAGACAATCATCAAGCTCAGAGCCTCACCATGTCGTGAAGGGAATCCACTGCAGGAACTTGGAAGACCTGTTGAATCATCCATTTCTATGGTCCATGCAAGATCTTCGGCAGCTTTTTGGAAAACTCCAGCCATAAATGCTTACATGACTCCAGTCAAGATGGTTGATTAAGACTTGAACAATTTGACCGGGCTTCGCCTTGGGTGCTAAAGACCATAGACCATAATTGCCATAATATCACCATATCACCATAGCCAACCCAATCCAAGCAGCTCCGAAGGATGCGATGGCAGCCCACCTGAATGATGCTTCTGTGACCCGGGACTCGGGACCCGCTGGAGCACTTGACCCGCTGGTGCCACCCGGAGAACGAGGCCCGCAAGTGGTACAGCATAGTGGTACCCACGGTTGAAAGCATTTTGTTGACCCTTGCACTATGCTTTCGCCTTGTGGAAGATCTTGCCGCGGTCGCTCCGCAGGCTCCACAGGTGCTGAGTGCCAAGGCACCCACACCACCCAGGAGCAAGGCCCTGGGTAGAGCCTAGCATGTGAAGGACTGGAGGTCTTCAAAATAGCGCGACAAGTCTTCAACGGTAAAAGCTCAGTGCGTCTTCCTTAGAACCAGGCGTCTGCATAATATAGTCAGAATTGGAACTGTACTGCACAGCAACTACGACTCAACTGGCATGGTGCGATTGAAATGGATCACCGCACCATGTCACCCATGAAAACTCGTTCGTGTCTTTCAGCTTGACCAACTCAACCATCAGTGGTGTTTTCATCTTCCCAAACTTGGATTGTATTTGGCTTGGCATTTTGCCAGTAGCTAGAACCTACTAGGTGGAGGCCATCGCTATTAGGTTGGAGGCCATCGCTACTAGTCGCAAGCGGTGTCTTCATCTTCCTCTTGCTTTTGCCGTTGGCCTTTTCGGTCGACCGAGCGCCGCTGTGACTCGTGACTCGCCGCGTCACCGGACGAGGCCTCCCAAGTCAAGCGCTCCGAGGTCTGCTGATTCCATTCCAGGAGTGAGAGCGTCCTGGATGCGGCGGTGTCAGGGGCTGGAAGACCCCAAAAGGACTGTCTCTTTCTTTAAAGCCCGGCGGGGGGGGTAGGCCGCTGGGAGGTAGGTAGGTAGGTAGGTAGGTAGCTAGGTAGGTAGCTAGGTAGCCAGTAGCTGAGTAGGTAGAGGTAGCTAGGTAGCCACTAACTACTGGACACGGGAGAGCTCGGGCTAATGATTTGGTTCCTAGTTTTTAAAGGGAAACTTAAGGTTGGAGGCCTTGTGTAGATCACTGTCATGCTGGGCCTTTGTCTAGGCATGCTCTTTCGGGCCTCAACCATGAAGTGTCAGCATGGATCAACGGCCAATGGTCGAGTGATGCCAAGTATGACCCGTTCCATTTGAGAAATGGGCATGCAACTTCAAGGTACAGTAGGGCCTCAAAACCAAAACCGAGAACCTGTGGCTGCAAGCAGCAGTTGACGAGCTCACTCTCTCTCTCTCTCTACCGATTCCTGGGTGCGAAAAGTTGTGGGAACTCACCATCTTCTGTACAGACTGTACACACCGAAGGAGCAGAAAACGTGACAAATGAAATTCTCACATCGAATTTCTAATCCTCCAAAGTAGTTCCAACCCTCTCGCTGAGGCCAATCACAGTACGGCTCATTTCGACTTGTCTGACGTGTTCTTCTGCCCACAAAACCGCAGCATGGAGGTCCGCTAGCGTCTCTTCAGGCTGTTGAAGAATCTCCGCGAGACCAGATTCCTGAATCTGGCGGCGCACATTGCCACAGGCATTGGTCACCAAAACCTTCACATCTACTTTTGACCAGGAATCCTTGTAGTGTGCCAAAGCCGTTTCATCCAAGAAGGGCACCATGCGCCAGTCCGCGATCGCCACTAAGATCTCTTGCTTCTGCTTCCGGCGCTCCGCGCGCGCCGCGCGCGTGTTGGCCGCCGCGTTGCCGAACCAGCGCGGGCCCATGGGGCGGGTGATGCTGATCTTCGGGATGGGACACGCCGCCGAGCCGGGGCCCAGCTCGTCGTAGCTCGCCGTGCCGGGGACGCGGCCGATCTTCACGTAGCCGGGCCCGGCGAAGCGCGACATGGAGACCACGACCTGGAAGAGGATGGCGACCATGGAGCCGTTCACGATACCAAAGAGCAAGGGAGACAGGAAAGCCTCAGGTGTTCTGCACTCCGAAAAGACATAGAGACATATCTTGCTTGCATCTTGAGCTTCAAAATGTTGAGCAAACATGGTTCGGGGTGTTCATCCAGAATAGGGAAATCCGTGCTCCTCTTTCCTGACACCAAGTTGCTTTGTTTCAGTTCATTGAAAAAAGCGATAAAGGTCCTCAAATTGTGGAAATTGTCTTTACTGCCCGCCTCGAGCAAGGGGAGTTGGGGTCAGCTATGACATGCTCCAAAATCATCTACAAAAGCTGAAAAAGAATAACTGGAAAACAAAAATGTCTTCTTCAGAAGCATGAAGAAGCCATCAAGTAGATCCCCAGGTCGCTGGCCACCAAAAACCCTAAGGTGCTGCTCTGGGCGCCATATCGCGCGCTCTGCGCTTGCCGGTAGAGATGCCGCAGCTCCGAAGGCAGGCTACTTAGGAGCGGAGCAAACTCCACCAACAAGATCACTGATACAGCGCACCTGGAGCAAGCTTGATCACCCAACAGTTTTGCGCTGGTCACCCGTATTAGTCATTAGTCTTGCTGGCTGACAAGCTTCGAATTCAAAACATTCCCACTAAATTTCTAGGTCTCAAGGGAGCAGTGTCAGAAACTTCAGATGCTGCACCTTGCCTGGGGATCATCAATCTCAGCTTGGCCACCAAGTAGAACGCGCCAAGGTGACCCAAAATGCTGCCCAAGGTAGCGAAGAAACCAGTTCCACTTCGCAAAGCCTCAGCTTGCAGCTTGAGAAAAGTATTCATTAAAGCTCATGGTCCTAGAAGAAATGGCCAACAAACAACCACCACCACCACCACCACCACCACCACCACCACTCTTGAAGTCTCCCCACCCATTGATCATTTCATCGAACCGGGTTCGATCCTTTCGACGACTTGGGAAAGGACCAGCGATCCACCCGTTCAGGGGGGGCGGGCCGGTTTGACTGGGCCCTGGTTATGGTGGTTCAACGTCGCCCGGTTCAGATCGATGTCGACCTGGCCTTCAACATGGTTCTCTTGGAGTCATATCCGCTACAGATCGACGCAAAGAACCTCTCCCGCCTGGCAGACTGCCAGATTGGCCATGACAGGCATCCCACCCAGGGTGGAGGCAGCCAGACTACTGGCGCCCAGCGCCAGAAGTTCCCGGCGCGGCTGCCACGGATCTTGAGGCCGGCGTACACGCTGAGCCACCGTGAGGTGACTTCCTGGAACATCCCTCTCACAGCGCATCTAGGCTGGTTCATAGTCTCATTCACTGGAGTCGCCAGCCACAAAAAATAGACTTCTTTGGTGTTTATTTTTCCTTAATTCCAGGTCAACGTCCAGTCAGGGTTCATGTCCAGTTTAGTCTTCCACACATCATGTCCATCATCTTCAAAAATCCTTCCCACCCTCTGCTGGCCCGTATCGCTCGCTCCTAAGGAGAGGAAGGCCGTGAGCACGGCCGTCGGCAGCGCCGACGACATCAGCTGCCACGTCCATCCCGAAAAAGCCCACCGGGCGGAGGGCTCCTGCGCGGGACCCGCGTGCGCCATTGGGTTGTTTGGGGTCACAGGAGGGTCTCACAGACCCAAAACAGAACCCCAACAGGGCTACTTAACCCCCCCCACTGGATCCTAGCATTTCGACATGCGTATTGACACTTTTTGCGGGGTTTTAATCTTCGGTTGTTGATCGGGTGGTGACCACTGCTTCCAGGCTCACTGGAACTGTCCTAGAGTGCAGCGTGCCAAACATTCCTTTGGGCAAGACAAGCCTAGAGATCGTGGCCAGTAGTGCAGATGGAACCCCACATGAAATGAAATTGTCCAAGAGATGTGAGCCAGCAAATATTGTATAAATACTGTAGAGAGGAGACCGAACAGTTCTTTGGTCCCAGAAGCCTGCTGATTTGGCCGCAGCTTGAAGACCCATGGGGTGAATGCCCCTGCAGGCGCCCCAAAGTTATCCCCAACGAGCAACCTCACAGGGGCCTCGGGCCTCATCAGGTGAAAAACATAAAATCCTGTCGAACTTCAAGATCTTCAAGGGGCAAGTTGCATTTCACTGTCCAAAGCTGAAAAACAACAAACCAACATATCACATTCTTTTACCACATCCTCCCCAATCGGGTCCTCAAATCCATCAAGTGGCCCGATGCCATCAAGATGCCAACTTACAACTGTTGCAACCGCAAGAACGATCAGATTCCCAGAGGAATGCAAGAGTCTGCAAATGACACGAAAGCTTTGAAGGCAACATGAGATTGCCTTGTTCCTGCAACTCCTTGATGTGTTTGTGTTGGGTGACTTCCCGGAGGCGCACCATCCCAACATTTTGCAAAGAATCAATGCTACCAGCAAGCAGATCGACAGAAGAAAGGTCGGCCAGTGGACCTGCTTGGGCAATTGTAAACAGGTCTTTCCAAAGCGCAGCAGGGGCGAAGTCGGCTTCCTTGGCAAGAATGGTCCGAAACAACGAAAAAACTCCTTTGTCGAAAACCGAATGTGAGTGATCAATGATTAGCTGATTGGCATAAACCACCAAGTATACAACACCTAAGAGTGAATGAATAGCACTGAGCAATGGCCAAGAATCTCATCCAAGAACACATCGAAAAGCACCTCCGCTTGTGCCAGCATCACCACCAGCGCGGCCGCTCCCGTGCGTGCTCGCAACAAGGGCTGACTGAAAAGCTCCACCACTGCGGCCAAGTCGAAAATGCCCATGGCGAAGTGCATGGCCCCCACCAAGACGGCCATCATCGATGCCAGATTGGCCGCGGCGGCGGCGGCATCGTCAGCCAGTCCCGCCTCGCCCGCCTCGCGCGCGGCGACGAGTTCACCCAAGCAGAGGGCGGCCGTGGAGCCCGATTGAACCGAGAGCAAGGGAAGACTTCCCAAAGCCATATAGACAAAGGGCGAGGTGATGCTGGTGTTGATGCTCACCTGAGTTTCTGGCGTGCGTTTCGCACCGCCTTTGGCCACCGAACTCAACAAACGAAAACCTGTGGTGCTTGCGAGTGACGTATGTTGGTACTTTTGCAAGGACGGCGTGCCCAATCACCAGTGGCCAAAACACGGCACCGACAGCAAGGCCGTGACACAGGTCACGAACGGCAGCCGAGGGATCTTCGGTATAACTTCGACATCGATTCCACGACGGCATGGAAATCCAAAAGCTGTACAGGCCGAGGAAGCCTCAAATGCATGCCGAGCTCTTTGGGCCGAGCTCTTTCGATGTGGCACATTCAAACCGACCCGGTTAAGCCAGTGAACGCGCCCATCACGGACCTTTTGCGGGATATAATATATGAAATCACCTTCCAGTGTAAATGTGTTCCAACACGGCTGCACCAAGGAACGCTACGTACGTCGGTAGGTCCCAAATGTCACGATCAAGTGCATGGGCAATTCGATCCAATTCTCACCCCTGGTTGGTGCACAATTCACCAAAAAAACAATAAACCTTTGAATTTGTCCATAGTGCTTCAGCCTCTCCCCCATGTTTTACTTCATTCACTAAGCAGTTTTAAATCTTCTTTCACTTCCATGGCACTCCCCGAGGTTTCCACACCTGGACCCTCCCGTCGCCCATCCCCGCTCCCGCACACCGCGACGAGGACGGCACCGAGGAGGGTGCAGGTCCTGGAGCTCGGCGCTGTCGGCGCTTTCGCAGTGGTGTGGTCGCGAGTGGTGAGACCAATTTTGTTCCCTTGGTTGGATTTCGAGTCGAATTAAGTTTACTTTAGGGTTCGAGTCGAGGTGAGCCATGGTATTCGAGTTGAGGTGATTGAACGGTGACACTCCGAGACCTGCACTGGAAAAAGATTCCGAAGTGCGGCGATTCTTGGGCTCTGAGGCTATGGCCTTTGCCTCTGGACAACCATGAGGAAGCATCATGGGCCTGGACAAGAAAGAAGCCTTTCATTTGATCATGGCTCGAAAACATGATAATCATGATATAGTTCTTTAATATATAATGATATATAACTATAATTGATATAAAGGATATAAGTAACTATAGTAGTTATCCAAACCCACTGGTCAAAGGCAAAAATTGTCTAAACCCAGAGCTTCCGACCAAATCCTACGAAGGTCTTTTCTGAGCCAGGTTCGGCAGGTTCGTCAACAAATGTCTGGTCCGTCTCCATTGTCTCTTGGTCTCTCCAGCCTCATGGCATGGTTACTTCCGCATCAGTCACATCAGCACGAAGTGGACATGTGAAAAAGAGCGGTTGGAACCGACAGCAGTGTGGAAAAACCCACTCACTCAACTCTTTAGACTTACTGACTTGGCCTGTAGTGTGTGGAAAAAGAACGCTGCTAACGGCTGCAAATTTAAACTGAGACATCTGCGGTTCCGCAAGCTCGCTGCAGGTGGGGTTCCAAGCGGTCAAAGAAGTCATGCCCAGATTCTCTGGTCAAGTTGCGCCCATCATTTCAGGGAACTATCATGTGTCATAATCATCCAAACACATGAACCCCAAGTTCTTAGTCCACCGCTTGAGAAACATTTGAACACTTCTCTGCTGGTGTAGCAGTGTATTAGGGTGATTTGTGTCTACCTCTGATTGTCAAAGTGTCTAGTCAGAAGTGACCCCTTGCCCTGCCTTGCCCTCCCCTTTTTCACCATCAGTAATGAACGGGCTCATCAATGTCAGAATCACTCTCGCTCATCTCATCTTCGTAACGATCTTCACCTCGTCCCGGGTGCGTGGCGCGGTGCGTTTCACCAGAAATCCACCGCTGTTTCTTCTGCGCTCAATTGCGGTTGCGACCCGGGTGAGTCCAAACGAAGACTAAGTGAGCCAATTGCACCTACCCATTGGCCGGTGGGTCCAAACCAGGATACCTTGTTGGATCTACCTGGAAGGTCAAGCCATTTTTTCTGCCAATTGCTTCTGACCGACTCCCCCCCATGGCCCAACTAAGGCCCAACATGTTCACTGAGACCCCCCGGCTGGCACGGTGCAAATCCACGCGACGAGCATACCCGTAAAACGGCACCGTCTGCTTGATCCGCCAGCGCCACTTCAAGCGGCGAAACCGCTTCAGGGCCTCGGCGGGGAGTGCACCCCCGACGCCGGGGTGCGCCGTGAACGGCGGACCGCCTAGTAGACCGTCCTGGCTCCGTTCGTAGCGTCCTTGTTCCTATAGTAGTAAGGCCAGGAGCTACGTTCGTAGCGTCCCTGCTCCTAGTAGCGATGCCCTTTGCTCCGTTCGTAGCTTTAGATGGTTAGCGGATCGGAAGGCCGTGTCCGGCTGCCATGAAGTCTTTACAACATAGGGCTTGGTGATAGACCCGTCGACGGCCTGTTGAGATCGGGAAGATCGGTTGCCGAAGAGAAGCAACGGCGTTCCGCTCGAAATCTTGCGTATCAAGCAAAACGTAGAATGCTTCGCGTAGCGGCGTAGCAGTATGCAACATCCACAATTCTTGGACCTGTGTTGGGATCTGACTTGCCAGTGGTATCAAGGGACCCGGATGTTGCGGTTCTTCCACAGCAATGACAGAGCTCCCGTTCTGCAAAGCTTCGGGTGTAAGAAGTTTCTGAGCGCATGACCCATTTGACACCAACCCCACCTTGCATCTGCGAAAACCTGGGTGGTCAAAGACACATGCTGAGAGATTCAACCGTCCCAGAAGTCCAACACAGAGGTTCACAACTACGACCCTCGTGCTCCACCTTACTCCAAAAACACCTCCAAATTTTTGGGGATTGAGAGTAGATGGCACAATCCCCAAAAGGTAGTTTAGATGGACCCCCATCTAAAGGACATCTTGGGGTTCCAGTGCCATCTACTATGAAACCACTGTTTGTCCCATCTTCAGTCTGGAGCTTCTTTGGTTTTCAGGAGCCCAGGGATGACCAACTCACCACCTGGAAGAAACCTTTCATCGAGTGATGCACTGATGAAGGAAAGGCCCTGAAAAAGACCTTGAAGAGGCGGCTAGACGAACTCTCACATGTAGCTCCTAATAGCTTCTTGTTCCTAGTAGTAAGGCCAGGAGCCCGGTTCGTAGCGTCCGATCGCTCCGTTCGTAGGGATGCCAGGGTTGCCCCGTTCGTAGCGAACCTTGTTCTTGACTGAACGAAGACTGCAGCACCAACTGCCAAGCTGTCCGATGCTTGGACCTTCTGTTTGACCTCTCCACTCGATTCTCCGATTCTGCGTTCGCACCTCACCGACCGACCTCACCCCATGCCCAGTGGCTGCATGAAGAAGGTGCTGGATTTATCTGCGGTGCAGTGGTGGCGGTGAACTTTGACCTCAGAAAGCTTCTCAAGCATTTGACTCACTCGCAGGTTTTGGGATGCTTCAGATGACGGACTTGCAAAGAAATATATACAGGTTCGGTTCACAGGTGGAAAATGGGACACGACGATCTCGAAGCTCAAACTACTCCATGTGCACAGACAACCAAGGTCAGAACGGGAAAGAAGTCCAGTCGATTAATGACCTGGGATGTAAAGCAAACATCTTTCTGATAGCTCCGAAATGCCAATTGCCTTACCCTCTTGCTAGCTTATAGCTTTCGAAGCGGACCCAAGCAACATCATTTTGACAATTGTTGACCCATCCGCGTGCCTGAAGAAACTCCTCAACGGTCATATCCTGGCTTTAGAGCTCCACCCAAAAGCGCATCAAGTCTTCAAAATCAAGTGGTAATATGACACCCAAACAAGGGAACCCCGGAAAAAACGTGGAGTTCCCTGCTTTTGGGGGTTGCATGCACATCAGCAGCTTACCCCACAACAGCAAGCTCTATGATTGGCACAGAAACCTTGCCCCCGTGCCTCCTGCCAGCCGGTGCTGAAGACCCACATCTTGCTGCCGTAGCCCTGACAAATTGCTGAAATGGTGTCTATCAGCCTCGCAACTTCCTTGTGGCTCGAGGGGAGGCACCCGAAAGCCATGCTTCGCTAAAACCGCATCCAAAACATGCCGCGATGGCATGCATCAAGAAGTCCAAGTCCTGCAGAATAGGGGGCTGTGACCGTCTGTGAGTCTGACCGGACTCGGACTTGTCTTTTTGCTAAGACTCTGACCGGATGGCTTGCAAAAAGAGTGGCTCGGCTGGACCATAGGAAGGCAGCTCCTCAGCCGGCGCGATCCGAACTCTTTGCGAACGCTGCCGGACACGGTGGAGTGTGCATCCTTTCTGGAGTCACCTGTACTGACTGCAAGCCATCATGGTCTCATCACTTTGCAAGATGTGAAACTGCGGACACTCCTTAGCCATTGTTAGCATGCCAGCATCATAACGGGCGCAGAGTCTAACCAGAGACTGACTGGTCCCAGTCCAAACCTAGTTCAGACAGATGTGCTTCCCAAAATGGACCATGTCATACCATGTCTACCCGGCTCTTCTGCCCACCCAGTTGGCTCGCCACCGTTCACGGACCGTGAGAAAGCGAAAGCCCTCGGCGCGCCAAGGCGCCGAAGAGAGCACCGTGCGCCGCCCGTTTGGGCACTGCCAACTCCTGGGCACGGCATGACAGCTGCGAAGTGAGGTGAAAAGGAGAATCGATGTGGTGATCCTGAACGAGGCCTGTGCATCGCTTTTAGGATGGATGTAGGTGGGAGGCCATCGCTCTTAGTAAACAAGGAAACAAGAAGGAAGAAAGGTCTATAACTTATAACATAGTTTGCTATTATGTAAACGTGTTTTCCAAACCGTGTTTCCAAACTACCCCTCAATCTATTGGCTGATGAAGGCATGTTCAAGGGGGATTCTTCGAGACCGGGAAATCGGTCATCGATTTCGTCGTGGTCGGCTGAAAAACCTGGTGAAAGCCCAGTGGTCATGGTGCGAAAGGATCTTCAAAATCTGTCAGTTTCAGAATCCATGCCTCTTTCACAGGAACCAAGAGCGTTGCCAACATCTCTGGAAGCTCTCTTTCCCCTTTTCCGGCCTTTTCCAACTCTTCTGCGTGTTCAATTTGCAATCCTCTTCTGCGTTCAGGCTGCGCCGCTGTGCTGTCCGTTTCACTTTCCATTGGTCTGCAGTCTTTGAACACCTCTTTGAAGGGGTGGAAATTACCTTTTGGATTGTGAGGCCTGCCCGCATTGTGATCATTCAAAATGCAAAAGGTCACTTGCCTTAGGCGAGTTTTGGCCAGCTCTTCTTTGAACAGTCTTGCCACCTCCTCTGGAGGATTCCCAAAAGCCCCACATCCAAAGGCCGAAAATACACATGCATCGCACTGGGCAGACGTGGCGCCGTGAAGCAAAGCTCGAATCTTCGATCGCATCAGACTCTCCTCTCGTGGCGGATACTTCAAGTCGTCCGTGAGCTTCGGATGCTGCAGGGCGGCGCACGTCAGGAACGTCACATGAAAGGAACCTTGCTCCAAGAAGGGATAGCCCTCGTGCTCGGGGCCTCGAAGAATGGTCACATCACGCGAAACCAGGCACTGGGTAGCCTTCAAGGGATACTGTGTGGGGTCCAGAAAGTTCTTCAGATCGCTACGGCGAAACATGGTTTCTTCTTGAGCTCCGGCACCCGCTTTCACACCACCACCAGGCGTGTGAGGGGAAGCCATGTTCAGTACTGCAACTCGATATTGACGCTCGACAAGCTCTCTCGCTTGCTCCAATAGATCACGTTGCAAGACCTGCACTTCAAGCGCGTCGCGTCTCTCCGATGCAGAGGCATCCTCGTCCACCAGAGTCTGAGACCCATCGCTCGAGACACACTCTGTCTGATCAAAATGAGGTGTTTTTCCGATCCACTTCTCAGTTTGCCCCCAGATCACCTGTCGCAAGCGTCGGATCTCCCACATGTCCGGCCGATCGGTGCCATCACCAGCCTTCCGGAAGAGCTCGAGCCACTGACGGGGATTGTGATCCTGAGGACGTGGACGTTGAGCGTAAAACAATCGGGGCGGCTGCGAAGCGCCGCAGGGCGGAAGCGCCGGCGGTGCTTCGGCAGTTGAAGCGCCAGAGGCGTCAACGTCCATGGCTGGATCGTGTCTGGCATGGCGGTGCAAAACAAAATAAGTACAATTGCAGTGTTATAATTATTTGATCAATTATTTATGTAATGTGTGTGTCACATGTCTGTGATTGTCTGTGTATACTTTGGCAAAAAGGAAGCGCAGGCGAATGTGTTTCATTATTTTTCCATTTATGCGTATCTGTGTGGAAGAAAAGGAAACTGTAAAGAACTGCATAAATCACGTTTGACTTCTAGAACGTACGTGTGCCAACTGGCTGCCTAGAGTCCAGTGAGTGGGGGTTTGCTGCCCTTGAAGTCTCAATCAGCTGAGCCTACAGCTGGAGGCCCTTCAGCCAAACAGTCTGAAACGAAGAGATCGACCACGGCAACTCAGACACTGCTTCACACCTATCTTTACCGAGCAAAGACAGGTACTACAGGAGCACATTTCGATTCGACGAAGACACGACAGAACATGACCGTGCTTCACGTGTCCAGCAACAGATTGACAAGTAACAAATGTTGCCTTCAGAAGTACGTGCCCCACCTGAATTTGTTGCACGCAATGGTCCACCGACTCAGCTGTGGGGCATCGCACATAGCAAGTGTCTGCCTGACGTCCCCACCTGGCGCCCCACGAAAGCGTCGAAAGGTCTGGTCACATCGTGGAGTTGCTGAAGTACGTGTTTTGAATGTACGCCTATTAGCAAGGGGCAAAGAAGCTACGAACGGGGCTCCTGTCCTTACTACTAGGAGCAAGGACGCTACTAGGAGCAAAGGGCATCGCTACTAGTTACAAAAAGCTACTAGGGGCTCTATAGATTGCCAGGTAGGGTCTGAGGTACTGAAGATGCTGGTAGTAATTAGATGTAAAGCAAGTTCGCCTTGATTGAAGCGGCAAAAACATTGGAAAGTGAAATGAAAGTCTTGTTCGAAACTGCATGCAAAGAAGGCTTGTTTCAGAGATTCCAACAAATGACCAGGACTACAGAGCTTTATTCCATTCTGCTGGCAAAGCTTCTTGATCCTTGCTTGACTTACAGATTGATCTGCCCATCCTCATCCCCACCTCTTGAATCGGAAAACAATATCCCGAGGTTCCACCACCACATTACAATGCTGTTTGATCACGTACGCGATATCCTGGTGTCCACACCACGCGTTCGTTTCACCGAAAAGGGAAGCTCTCTCTCTCTCTCTCTCTCTGTCGGTCACTGGAGAATCCAACTGACTCTTACCTCAAAGTGTGTTCTTTCTGGTTAATGCTTTAAATAAATTCAAATGTATAACTTTATAACCCAAACAATGACGTTGCCCTTCACTGCTGAACCACCCTTTCTGGTCAAATGGCAAAGGCCCTTTGTCAGCTGGTGCGTTCTTTCGCTATGGCTGGATTGTTACTATGCCGGCGATGCCGCTATGCCATGCCTTATGTCTGATCCCACCAAACGACACTCAACGAGGCTCCAACTAGAGGAGCGAAACCCAACTCAACAAGTCCTTGCGTCCATAGTTGGAAGGAACCTCCGGGGCAGCCAGGTTCGGATGCCCGGGCCAAAAAATACGCTTAGAGTCTTTGGTACTTCTCTGGACATGATGTCTGCTTCATTTTCGTGGGGGCAACCAGCTCGTGAGCTTCTGCAGTGTGTGCCCAAAAATGAATATGATTTAACATCGTCTCAGTCGTTGCAGCCATCGTCCTGGCCTCCGTGATCGTCATGATCCTCAAGAAGTTCTCAGGAGCAGCCAGCCGTCTCAAATCCTCACCGACAGAAAATGGACGAGTCGCCTTTGTATAACGAAGGACAATCAAGTAGAACATTTCGCCATAATGTTGAATCTGTACTGATTAGAGCCCACACTTAGAACATTGTAAGCAGAAATAAACAGGAAAGCTAGCAAAACTCTTTGCTTTTCACACTCAGCCCTGCCCTGCCATACATTTAGAACATTGCAAGTAGAACAACATCCAAAGCTAACAAAAGTATTTTTGGTCATGGCCCATGCAAACCAGGATCCACTATAAAACGTGTATGTTACATAGATATTATTTGAGCCACCCACCACAAGCACCAAACAAGTTGTCTGCTGTTCGGACGGGCAATCCCTTGAACATTCTTATTGGGGCTTATTCGGTTTTTAAGTGCTTTGTTCTAAGCGTGGGTTGTGTGTTCTGAGTGTAGTTGTCCCGCTGTTCTAAGCCTTACACTTAGAACACCACTCAGAGAGGTGCTTTGAAAATTGAATACAAAAAACATTCCAAGTGACTGGTTCTCCATCCCTGTACAAAAGCTTGAGAACCAGGACCGACGAAAAAGCATGATAGATCTTCGCGGAGACATCAAATCTAAATCACAATGAAATCGTGCATCCCGCATGAACACAAAAATCTGAGGTAGAAAACAATATCTAACTTGTAGTTTACCAAAAATAGAGCTTGAAAAAAGAGACACGTTTTCCTCGCGGCCGACAGTCTTTTTGTCCGGCCAAGTCCTCACTGAGGTTCACCAGGCGCTCGCTCTGCTCCAGGAAGGCCTCGGGACGAAAAGCACCAAAAAAGGGCAAAGTAACAAGCAGTTGGGCTGTATGCTCCTCCTCAAAATGACACACACCCCACTGCAGTATCTATAAAACACACGCATTTTCAAGTAGATGGGATATGGACCGATTGCAAAGCAAGGGGGAAATGGTCCTGCATGTGAACATTCTCCGTGTTCAACAACACATACTTTCTATTGTATGCATGAGACATATGTCATCATATGTCATATGTCTACAATGAGCAACTGAGAGTGTAATAGGGAGACCCCGTAGGGGGTTTTGGATGATCTTTGTTTATTTTCATTCTTCCAGGAGGTCGAACGCCCCACCTACACACCCAACTGTGTCAACCGACGAGAGGCCGACACCCCGCCTCAATGTCCGACCGATCCATGGGTCGGTAGGAAGTGCCATATGGGAGCTCCTGCTGTTTCACAACACCGAACTTGCATGAGGGTGCCGATTGGATGTGCTTCGTTGGAAACCCGGGGTCATGAAAGAAGTAGAGATCTTCTGCCAAAGAAGATCAATGAGGTGAGGGTTTGCCATGTCATGTTGGTTGGAAACGCCTCAAGGGGGGTGCCAGGAAAAAGGCATGGAACATGTGTTTAGAACGAAGTAGAAACAAACCGATGGCCCATGACCAAGTTCTGTATTGTTCGGCCCATCTGCAAAGTCTGCAAAGTCTCCAACAGTCTTTCAGTCTACAACAGTCTCCCAGTCTGCATGATCTCTGCAGTCTCATCCTGAACGATCTCAGGCACGTCTTTGGGATGGGCGATCAAGGCTCGCCCCATCGACCGTCCCAGCCGTGAACGCATCAGGAAGATCTTGTCACGCCTGGAGGACACCAGGGTCCGATCCCTGCCCCAGTCCCCAATCCTCGAGAGATCCACAAGACCGATGGCTTCAGTCAGATGGATTCAGTATGATTCAGTCATATGACATGTCTTTTGATCGGGAAAAAATGCATTTACTGAACTCTCAGGAAAGTTGGGCATCGTTTGATTGATGGAACATCCTGTTATGCCTGTCCATGGTGTGCTGGGAGCCCTGCCATTCGCTTCCAAGATCTTTACCGAAGCTACCCAAAGCATCCTTGATCTTCTCCTGACCCAACCAACCCGCGTGATCTTCGGAACACTCACGGCAAAGGCGCCTTGTTGGACAACAATGCACTCTACGACTCTCCAGAATTGAGGGAAACCCAGCTAATGGGACTTTATTATAGATCTACATGTTCCTTGCACAAGAGATCTTGGGGTGTCATGTTCCATATCTTGAGACCACAAGCTCTGATGACAGCTTATTAGTCCACGCCATCGCCCAACACAAAGCTGGACCCCGGCCCGTGGAGCGAAAGCAAACCCGGATAGTCACGCATCCGACTTTCACATCAAAGACCACCTTTCAGATCAATCAAAAACCCCCAACCCACTGGAAGCTTCTAGGTGGAGGCCATCGCTACTGGTAACTAGTTGCTACTAGTTGTGTCCACTGCTTTGGTCTGTGTCAGACCTGAGAGATGTTCGCAAAACGTCCTCACGCGCAACGCCAGCGGCGTCCAAAGTGCTCTAAGAACTCGCTGCCCTGCCTCGTTCCAGTCACGTGGTAGCCGCTCCAGCAAGAAGGCCTGCTAGAACGAGAGCAGAAAAAGAGCTTGATCACTGCTTGAATACTGCTTCCGGCAAGCTGAAGCTGAGGTGACCAACGGAAAAAAAGAAAAATAAAAAACTTTAGTCTTCCATCTGACGAAAAATGGTGCACTCCTCACCGTTTTGGGCCTCAGTAGGGTTGCTCAGAACCGCAACTGCAGAAGGCGAGTCTCTTCTGTAAACAAGCTGAGACCACGGAGGATAAGCATGGCAATGGTACCGTTGTTCGTAGGGCACCAGTTTGATCCAAAGCAACAAACTGCTACCTATCTCTCGGTTCGGTCCTCCTGCTGCTCATTCAGGCTCACGTGCTCCTGGCGCTTGGGTTGCTCGGCAAAAGGAAACGATGTGGAAACAAAGCACGAAAATCGCGTCAGGCCCAATTTCTGAGGGACATGTGCAGCAAGATTCTGCTTCCTGTGGCTGACTTGGTCCGATTTCTTTTGTCTCTGCTCACTTGCCCCACCAAAGAAAGCAACAACCAGACCAAACATGCTTTAAAACTTGATCACAAAATCCAACGATGAGAGCTGCTGTCAGTCCTGCGATTTGCGGAGCGATGCAGGCACCGCCAGCCCTCTTCTTTGGATGGGAATCCTGGGGCGTCGCAACGAAACCTGCTTCATCCAAACGCAACGCTTCAGCCAATGCGACTTCGGCCCACGGCCCACAGCGCTTCGGCTTCACGGTAGGATTCGCTTCACGGTGCTCAGAAGTGCTCACAGGGTACGGCGACGAGGCCGGACTGAGACGTCGCACCGCTTCGCAGGAAAGCTGCGCCTGGACAGAGCTCAAGGGAGTTCCGTCACGCCGAACGAGGGAGTTCGTCCGAAACATTGGAAACATGTCTGCAGTAGCTGTTGTAGAGCTGAGATGAATCCCAGCAGTGCTATTGTTTCATGGGATTTGTATGTGTATGTACATATATATATATATACATGTATAATCTCAGAAGCTTTCTTGATTGCGTTCAGGACATGGTCCACTAGTGGTTATAGATCGAATATATGATTCTTCTGCTTAGAGGCTTAGAGTTTCAGCATCAAGGTTAGGGTTCCTCTTTGCTTGGAAACTCAAGCCTTTCGTTATCGGTTCCACAAACATTTGGCAATACGAGACGGGCTCAGACCTCAAGAGTGCAACATGGGCTGCAACACATTGACGCATATGACCTATTACTTATTGGTGCTGCACAGTGACAGCAGTGACAATCATGACCTGGGGCTACATGCTTGAAGAAATTGCTGTTTTCTGTAAAAGCATGTGCAAGCTGTTTGTGTTGGAAATGATAATGAAATATCGCACAGGTCGAGCATGAGGGTCCACTTGTCCAAGACGAGATTCTTGTCAGAAGATTGCAAGTGGTCCCGCGAATAGTGTGTATCTGAGGAGCTTGGTGTTGGATGATCATGCCAATGTCAATCTTTGTGCCAAAGCTGCGGATGTTCTTGTCACATTTGCTCTTGTCAACACTGAAATCACCCAGCACTAAGAACTCTCCGTCCCCATCTCTTTTTCAGGACTTCGCTGGGGTCTTGTTCTTGCGAGCCAGGTAACGCTCGCGAGCACCACCAACCTGCATCGGGCTTGAACCTCTTGCTGACTTGCTGGGCCATCTTGAAAAAAGGCTTCTCGTCAAAGCGGATCTTTACATGGGGTCTCTATGCTCGGGTACTACAGGGTACAACAGCATTCTGGCTGGAAATCACACCTTGATCCCCGTGTGTGAGACTGGCATGGTCCCTGTGCCACAAGCTCCAGCTCTTAACGTTTGGTAACGCGAGTCGAAGGATACCTGGCTCTCGACCCTCTTCACAAATGTGATTGCTTACTTTAAAGGCACAGGAGGACGGGGCCTTTGGTTGCGTGATCCGTCACAAGGGATCCCACACATTGATGATTCCCTCAACCTGTCACTGATGACCTGATGTCGTTCTACCATGATGTCATTCGCCACAAACAACCCTGTTCTGTCCCGCTCGGCAAACATTGCTCGCCTTCTCTGCCCTGTCCTTGGCCACCTCCTCAGCACCCTGTCACCACCAAGAAAATCCTACCCTTGGGCCCTTGGCGTCATCCTTCCCAGTCGCAAACCCTCAAGCCGATTTAATGGTTAAACCACACTTTCAACTTTCTTTTAAAACCTACATGCTTAAGACAAACAACAAGTCACACAAGCCTTCCATGGTTTCCGTGCTAAATCCTACCCTGATGATGGCTTGCAACGTCAGACAACACGTTTACCACATGTCACGCCTTCTTCACTTCAGCCTGTGCCACAGGCTCTTGAAGTCTTGCTAGCACACTCAAGCTAGTCAATCAGGAAAGCCTAACCAAATGAGTCAAAGCACAGCAACTGCCTACATACCTCATACCTCCGCACATACACCGAAGAGTGAAGGGCGCATGTACTGCGCATGTCATTTCTGGATCAGCTCCACTTCTGGACCCACCAGCCGTCTCGACGCCCACCTCGGGTGCTTGCTTCGAGACCTTGGCCAAGCCAACCTGAGCGCGAAACGCCAAGGACGGCAAGACGCGTTCGTTCCAACGCCCATCCCGGTGACGTTCGTTACGTTCGTTTCGGGTGGTCTTGGCATGTCTTAATAATGACCGGTACGAGTCGTACGGAGTTGGTTTCTCGGATGCCGAAGAAAAGGGAGGAAACTCTGTGTGCGACGCGGATCAAAGAAAGAGCCAAAAACAACTTGCACATGGCATGCAACTGGAGTCTTCACGTTGCAGTCTTCAACCAGCCGAGTTCACTTCCATGCAACATCTTTGAAACAGCAGAGCTTCCTTTGAGGCGAAGCTCACCCTCCCCATCGATCCAACTGAGGAAAACCCTCCCCATCGATCCAACTGAGGCATGCGCCAAACGCTTCATGTCCACCTCTCCGAGCTTCGGAAGCAATGGCCTAACTGTTTGCGGCATGCGGCCCCGGTCGGGGCCCGTGGCGGCGGCCCGGTGGCGGGCAGTCCCTGGAAGTCCAAGTGGAAACATCAGACCCTTGGCAGTGAATCCACCCTTGGAGATCGGGAAATGTCTTCAAGATTTTGCAAGAATCTGCACCTTGAGAAGACTAACTTCTGAGGAAGATCCAGATTGACAGACGGATCGGCTAACCTTCAGCACCCGAGAGGCTGAAGCCACTTGTGATCCATAGCTGACACAGTTCCTCGGCGGAAAAAACCGGTCAAATGCTGCACAGTTCTTTTGGGATTGTTTTAATGGATGTGGGATCGCATCAGGTGATTGACCGGCATCCAGATTCAAAAAACCAGACAAGATCAGAAGAATCTGGCACAGGATCAACAAAAAACAATGAAAATATCAAAAACATAAGGCTGAATCCTGAGTAGATCCCTTGGTCCATTGGTCCCTTGGTCCCCATGGTCCTTTTCCTGGTCCGCTGGCCTCGTGGTTCATCGGTCAAAAAGCGCATTGGTCAAAATTCGCGAGATGTGCGACATTCATATTATTTGCGAATTGGCACGAACTGGAGCTAGATTGCGAACTGGAGCTAGTTATTCTTGCTATGGAAGCTCGTGTCATTTTCTGGATGCCCTTCATTGATGGGGAAAATGGGGTGTGTAGCTCTATTTTGTGGTGCCTTCTGAGTCACCAACCCTGGGGGGAGGCGCAGCACCACATAATCTACACTACTTTTGCCAATGCACTGGGCTTGCCACGAAAGCATGCTTTACAGGTCACCCATCGCATCTCCACACCAAATCTGGCATGCCCTCGTCCAACTCGTCTAAGTCTCTTTAATTATGTGTTGCGTCCACGGCTTTTCATTGTCCTCTGGTGGATGATAGATAGGGTCAGGGCCCACCTTTGCTGTGTCCAACATTTCTATCATTGAGTTCTCTTTTGTTTTTCTTGGTGGGTTTGTTTTTGGTTGTATAGTGGATGTTCTCTATTATCCTTTCTTTCGTTCTCTTTTGGATTTTGTCTCTTGGTTTGCTCTGCGGCGAACGCCTGCCTGAGCCTTGAAAGTCTCGCTGCAAGCTCTGTGTATGTGTGTGTGTGTGTGTGTGTCCTGCCCGCCTCGTTTTTCTTTTAGTGACCTCCTTCGGCGCCTTCAGTCCTTCGACTATATTTATGTTGATGCCAGTTCATGCTATTCTATATTACTTGTTTGATCCCTCACCCAGTCCATGACACATTGGTGGGCAAGAGACAGGAAGCTGCTCAATTCTTATCCGTCATCCGTCCATTCTTATCCGGTCCAGGCACGCATCATGCAATTGGCCACAGTGCTTCCAACGAGGTCAGTATAAAGGACCCACCTTGGCAGCGTTCGCCCAGCGCCCGTCACCTACCCACTGGCTTGCTGTTCCGAATGGCCCACCACATACATTGCGCTGGACAGTTCTTTTTGGCCCTAGAGATCCAGGTGGTTCAGTTTTGGCATCACTGATGCTCTAATCCAAATCCATATCCGAAGACCGAACCCTGCACGAAAGATTCACCGACTTCCTAAGGATCTTCGGCCACCGGAGAGAGCTCGCTCGGCCGGACTCTCTCGGAGCACCGATTCCCCCATCTTCACTGACTCATCGACGCGCGTCTCGCTGGCACCGAGGCGCTCCGCAGATGACCCGTCCATGGCGCTGGACGATTCGCACTTCACCAAGACGTTCTCGCCTTTTTGGGGCGACTCATCTTCAGCCGCGAGAAGGCACAACTGCCCAAAGCATTTGAGCAAGGCAATCATTCTGACTCACTGGTTGTTCACTAGTTGTTCAGGTGCTGGCCCAAAAGAAATGGGTCTTTCATAAGTACAATGCTTCACAGCATGAACCACAAAAGTCACATTGTTGTATCCCAGCACTGCTGCTGAATACCGCTGCTATACCCAAGCGTATGTTCCAAGACCAAAGACATCACCAGCTGTGTACCGCTGCCAGCACCTGCTGTTAACAGACCTGCTAAGCGACCTGTTGTATGCTATACCCAAACCGTAAGTATGTTCCAACCACCACGGACCTGCCACGCGACGCCTATACCCCTCCACCCTTCCTTCTCCTCGCGCTCCGCGGACCTACGATGAGCCAACCGCCAGCAGCACCACAGGCCCGAGCGCTTTGCATGTAGAAGCCTGAACCTGTGAGGGTTGGGTCTTGGCTGTCCGTTGGAGATGTCCTAAGTATACCGCCAGACACGTTTGATATGTCCTAAGCATATAAGGGTGTATACTGTATATTATGATCATAAAGTCAAAGGAAACGAACGCACTTCAGGAAGCTCAAGATTATGTTGACGCATCCCATGTTCAAGGAATATCGGAGTTTCTCTTCAAGCGAAAGGGAGGGGAGCGAAGATAGCAAGCAATGTATAAAACAGTTCATAAAATGCTACGTGAATCCAAGCTGATGTTTGCCATGTTCCAGCACAAACGCGCAAAAACAAGCATTGCTGCAAGCAACAGCAGGGCAAGCATTCTACTTGACAGGTTGTGAGTTAACCTGCGGTGCAAGGATGTACAAGATATGCAGCATGCAATGTTGGGCAGCGACATTTGGATCGAATCCAACAACGAATGCAATGTCCTCGCATGCAGCGAACGCATTTCATGAGCAGGCGAAGCAAGTAAATCAACATCAAATAAGCATCAAACAAAAGATCCGCTCCCATGTCTCTATATATATATATATATATGGATTGTTTTTGCGACAGCGCAATACAGTTCCCTGTTTGTATGGCGGTATGTGCACACACTAGCCTTGGACTTTATCTCGCTCTCCCAGAGTTGTGGTGTTTATGTGTCACACCATTCACAGAGCTGCCCACGCACATCCCTGCTTCAAATCCTGTTCTTTCCCGAATCTTGCCACAAAACCGTGCATAAGAACGGGTGAAGCGTGAACAAAAGAAAACCCAAAGCAACGTAAACGCCAAGGCATTTCCTCGGTGCCGTCTAAACGCTGGTGTGAAACGGGCCGTTTCTGAGGCACCAGCAAAGCGATTGCAGCAGGGCCTGGCAGAGTTGTGCAACATGGTGTCAAGTAGTCTAGTGTGGAAAAGAAACCATTTGTCCGTCTTGCTCTTTTTTGGGGGGGTAGGCCTAGGTAGCTAGCAGAAGCTAGGTTGCTAGTAGCTTGCTTAAGCTACTAGCATGGATGCAGGATAGCTCACGCTTCTATTCATTTGGTTCCTATATATTTTTTGTTGGGAAACTTAAAGGTGAACGTT